TTTTTTTTTTTTCCAGTCCTGAGGCTTGAACTGATGTTTTAGGTGTTGCCCCTGAGTTTTTTGTGCTCAAGGCTAGCACTTTACCACTTAAGCGGCAGCTCGTTTTCTGGCTTTTTTTTTCCTTTTTCTTTTGTGGTTTATTGGAGATCTGAATCTCATAGGCTTTCCTGTCAAAGCTAGCTTTGAACAGTGATCCTCAGCTCTCAGCCTCCTAAGTAGCTAGAATTACAGGTGTGAGCTACTGGTACTTAGCTTTATGTTCTCTTTTTAATTTAATACAAGTGTCCACCAAAGTTAAGCAGAACTGATTTGTGGCTGCACTTATGCTTAATTCTTTTTTTCCCCTGTTTACATTACTTTGATTTATTTATTTATTATTGTGAAAATACTGTACAGAGGGGCTACAATTACATGGACAAGGTAATGAGTACATTTCTTATCAAGCATTGTTGCCTCCTCCTTTGTTTCCCCTTCCCACCCCTTCCCATCTCCCCTCCGCCCACACACACACCAAAGTTATGAAGTTCGTTTTTCGACATAATGTCTTGTACATCTTATTGTTGCACCTGTATCCCTATTTAAACAATTTGTTTTTCCCTTCCCCTCCACAAAGTATAAAAGTATACCAACATTAAATACAGTGAAAACAGGGGATATGCTACGGGGGAGGGAAATACAACAAAGAGATCATCTTATAAATATGTTAGAAACAATTGCAAGAAAGAAAAAAAAAACCATTTGAATCCTTATCTTGGGGTAAATTTATTGTGCTTAATTCTTATTAGTTAAGTTGGGAATATACTTCAGATCTGCCCTGTGTATGGCAGGTTCAGGTTGATCCCTAGCCTTATTGGCTGGGTTTTCTTTTGTGGGTACAGTCCTGCAAATCCAAATGCCATATTACTATTTCATTTTGTTTCTTTATGTTTGAGAAAAATGTTCAGTTTTTTTTTTGCTAAATTTACTGGCATAAAGTTATTGATTCTAGATTTTTCTTTTCCATATACTTGCTGCAGGAACAGGAGTGATTCTTCTATTTGTTCTTGATAGTAGGTCTTCTTTATTTCTTAGTGTCTCTTTCCAGACTTAGTTTCTTTAATTATCTTTTAAAAGAGCCAGCTCATAAAGACACTGATATTCTGCTATTTGTTTTTTCTCTTCAATTAGTGTCTGATCTTAACTTAGTGATTTTTACTTACATTTGTTTGCTTCTTTTTTTGTAATTTATTTAAAGATGGCAACTTAAACCACTAATTCATGTTCTCTTTTATCCTTGTGTGGTGTGTTTCTCTTAATGCTGTTGGATCTGCAGCATATACATTTTGTTGTGTTTGTGTTCATTCAAACATTTTTTTCTGATTTTTCTCTTTGAAGTAACTAGGTGTTTATTCTAAATATTCAAGAATGTATCAGCTATCTATTTTTTGTTTTTAACATTAGTATTTCTTTTTAGAAATGGCATTCTGTGCTAATTCAGCTTACATCTGATTTTAGTGATTGGATCATATAAATGTGAAAGTATAGTGATTCTGGAACTTTTTCATACAGAATTTTATGTGTTAATCAAGACTAGTTGATTGTTAATATTGTTCAGATAATCTATAGCACTTCAGTTTTTTTATTTCTTACTGGGAAGGAGATTTGAAACTTTCTATTATAATCATAAGCTTTCTATGTCTCTCTTCAACCTGCCTTTGTTTTGCAGTAGGTTTTCTTCAAGTGCCATGACTGGTTCATATATTATTAGGATGTTTCTATCTCCTTGATGAATTGACCTATCCTAAAATGTCTCTCTTGATCCTGGCAAATATTCCTGCTCCAGATAGTACCTTTCTTGACATTTATATAATTACTCTAGCCTTGTCACAGTGCATGTTGGTGTCCTATGTCTTTTTGTATCCTTGCTTTTAATAGGTGGTTATGTTTATGATTAACACAGATTTTTTGTACAAAATGTATAATTAGATCTTATTTTATTAACAATATAAATTCATAATCTCTGCATTAATTTGTGTTTGATCCATTTTTATTAATGTAATAATTATGGCTGATTAATGGTTAATTAAGGGTTAATTAATTATGGTTATTTAAAATATATTTATTGTTATTGTAAAGGTGTACAAAGGGGTACATTTCTTTTTGAACTATGTAACCCCTTCCCTCACTATCTCCCAGTTTTCTCTTCCCATCTCTACCCACAAGTTGTACAGTTCATTTTCCACATAGTGTCTAATGAGTACCACTGCTGTGTTTATTCACCCCTGTTCCCACCATTTCTGTGTCTCTCTTAGCTTTCCAGAGACAAACCAACAAACAAGACAAAAGGAAGAACAAAATAGCAGAGCAACAACAACAAAATCCCTCTTGTTTCATTTCTTGGAGTTCATTTGGATAAATATTATTTTATATGATCATATGCACATAGCCATTGAGCCTTTATAATCTGCTCCTTAAGAATATCTTCATTCAATCTAGATCTGTATGAATGCCTAGATCTGTATAATTTATCATCTCTCAGTGTATTTTTTTTTTACTACACAGTGTGTTTATTTATTCTAGTTTACTTATTCTAGTTACCACAAATATGGGAAACCATGCAACCTATGTTTCTTTGTGTCTGACTTACTTTGCTTAGTATGATCTTTTCCAAGTCTTTCAATTTCCTTAGGAATGGTACAATATCATTCTTTCTGATGAAAGAGGAGAATTCCATTGTGTGTATATATACCACATATACTTGATCTAGTTGTTCTTTTATATCTACCATGTATATGTTTTTGTCTATTTGTCAACCTGTGCTTTCTTCTCTTCCTGTTTTCTCTTTGATTGAATGATTATATTTTGGTATTTTGCCATATAACCCTAATTGTATTATTAGTTGACCCTTTGATTTCTTTTTGGTGTTTTCCCAAAGTTTTCTAATGACTGTGTTGTGGTACTCACTGGAAATGAAGAGATATTAACTTTCCTTCCTTCCTTCCTTCCTTGCTTGCTTGCTTGCTTCTTCCTTCCTTCCTCCATTTTTATTGCAATTTGATCAAGTATTACTTCACTTCCATAGTGTTATGAATCTTGTAGTATGTTACTATTAGTTTTGTTTAAAACAATTTTTGTGTGTGTGTGTGCTGGTCATGGACTCTGAACTCAGCGACTGGGCACTCTCCCTGAGCTTTTGTGCTCAAGACTAGTATTCTACCAATTGGGCCATGGCTCTACTTCCAGCTTTTTTTTAAATTGGAGATAGGAATGCCACGAGCTTTTTATTTTTATTTTTTGACCTGGCTGGCTTCAAACCATAATCCTCAAATCTCAGCCTCCTCAGTAACTGGGATTACAGGCATGAGTCTTTGCTCAGTGTTTAGAACCAATTTTATTTTAAGGGAATTTTGAGAAGTGTGTGTGTGTGTGTGTGTGTGTGTGTGTGTGTGTGTGTGTGTGTGACTGGAACTCAAAGTTGATACTCAACATTTTTGCTTATTGGTTAGTACTCTACCAACTGAGCAATGCCGCCAGCCCCTCAATTCTTGTTACCCACAATTTTTTAAGAATTCATTCATTCATTCTTTCTTTCTTTCTTTCCTCTTTCTTTCTTTCCTTCCTTCCTTCCTTCCCTTCCCTTCCCTTCCTTCCTTCCTTCCTTCCTTCCCTCCTTCCTTCCTTCCTTCCTTCCTTCCTTCCTTCCTTCCTTCCTTCCTTCCTTCCTTCCTTCCTTCCTTCCTTCCTTCCTTCCTTCCTTCCTTCCTTCCTTTGTACAGATTTGTTTCTACCTGGAATCAGGTAGAAACTTTCCTCACTTGGAAAAACTTCTGATAGCAATTTTTTGGTAATCCAGATTACTTGACAAGGAGTATAATTGTTTGAAAATATTATCATTTAATATTGTCATTTATTTGTGGTAGAGTTATATACTCACAGTATTTTTCTTTTGATTCTTGACAATTTATAGTCTTCATGGTATTTTATTTCTCACTAGAATTTACTACTAATTATTCCTACTATCTTCTTATGCACGAAGAAGTTTGTATTTAGCTGCTTTCAGGATATATTTTTTATCTTTGACTTTTAGCAGCTGGGAACATAGGTATGGTTCTATCAGAACTTGATGGGGTTGAAGTAAGATGAATCTCCTGGGTATGTAGGACTCTAGTTTATACCACATTTGGGAAAAGACTTCTTTATCTTCCCCTTCAAATTTTTGAATTCCAATCACACACACACACACATAAACAAAAGGCTTGGTATTGTCCCACATTTAACAGGGATTCTAATTTTTCTCATTTTATTATCTTTTTTACTTTTCCTTGAATATTCTTCCTATTGTTTCCTCAAGTTCACTTGTTTTTCTGCGGTTTACCTTTAAGGTGGTGAAATGATTCTGTGTGCAAGTTTGGAGCTCTCCCATCAGGGGTCTCACTGTTTAATGCCCAGGCTTATTTAAGAGGACTTCAGAAGCCATCTTTGTTTTTCTAAGTCACTGAGACCATCACAGCATGTTTGGGAAGAGACCTCCCCTGGGTGGAAAGCTGGTGATTTAGAACTTAATTTGTTTTTATTTCTAGTAAATCATAATTTGTTAGAAGAAATGGGGGAGAATGATGAAAAGGGTCACATGAATCAAGGTGCACTGTACTCACAAACTTGACATATTGAATTGAAACCCCTTTGTTACAACTCTTTAAGGATGATTTAAAAAATATTAAAGGCTAGACAATCCAACAACAACACAATCATAGTTCAGCTTTACCTATGATGTGAATCCTGTGAAAAGAAACTTCACACAGCCAGTTTTGTAGTTGGATAACAAAATAAATGGAATATCAGTTCCTATTAATAACCTTTACAGAGAACCTCATGTTAGCATTTTAAGTGTTTAGAGATGTTTAAATCTTTCCTGAGCGGTAATGTTCACAGACTTCCTCAGAAGTGAAGAATTAAGCTCTGCTTCTGTATCTTTTCTGTTGCCTCAAATGTTTTCTCTTGTGTCTTCCATTGATTGGCAGCAATGTGGATCTAGTAGCTGCTGTAGTCCTGGATTGTGTGTGCTGAAACCGACCTCAGAGTGTGACAGCTCGAATCCCAGCCATCGCTGCTGTGACGGTTGTAAAGTAAGACTTCAGCTGCATCAAGGGTGGAATACAGGAGAGCACTCCCCACAACAGCTTTTTTGTCACAGCAAGTGACTTCTTTGTTTTGTACTTTTTTGCCACTACGGATTGAACTCAGAGCCTTGTGAATTCTAGACAAGTGCTCTAGGACTTGGAGGCATGCCCCTACCACTTTAGTTTTTTTTGGGGGGGGGAGTCCGGTCATGGGGCCTGAACTCTGGGCCTGGGCGCTGTCCCTCAGCTCTTCAGCTCAAGGCTAGCTCTCTACCACTTGAGCAACAGCGCCACTTCTGGCTTTTTTCTTTTTGCTTATGTGGTGCTGAGGAATCCAACCCAGGGCCTCAGGAATGCAAGGCAAGCGCTCTACCACTGAGCCACCTTCCCAGCCCATAGTTTTTTTAAATTTTATTTTGTTTTGAGACAGAGTCTCTTTATTTTTTATTTTTATTTTTTGGTCCAGTCATGGGGCCTGAACTCTGGGCCTGGGTGCTGTCTCTCAGCTCTTCAGCTCAAGGTTAGCACTCTACCACTTGAGCCACAGCGCCACTACCGGCTTTTTTTTTTTTTTTCCTGCTTATATGGTGCTGAGGAATCGAATCCAGGGCCTCATGCATGCAAGGCAAGTGCTCTACCACTGAGCCACCTTCCCAGCTCACTCTTTTATTTTTTGTCTTGACTAGTCTTGAATTTTTCATTCTCTTGTCTTTACCTCTTAAGTATCTGTTTCTTTTTTAGCGGGGAGGGGAGAGTTGTACATAGCTACTGAGGTTTGAACTCAGGGCCTTGTGGTTGCTTGACAGGTACTCTACCACTTGCATCACATATCTATCCCTTTCTGCTCTCATTATTTTTGAAATAAAAGCTCACTTTTTTGCCTAGACAGACCCAGGTTTCGATGCTCCTATTTATACTCCCTGCTGTACCTGAGATAGCAGGTATGTACCACTGTGGCCAACTGGTTATTGGTTGAGAGATGGTCTCTAGAAATTTTTGCCCAGATTGGCCTTGTACCTAGATCTTTGTACCTCTCAGCTTCTCCAGTAGCTAGGATTACATAAAAAATTGTGCCCAGCATAAAAGTGACTTGAAATAAAAAAGTAATAAATCAGATTTCTCATTTTGTATACTTCTATTAGTTGTTGGAGCCTGTCAAATGCCAGGGTTATCATGTAGGCTGGTCTTGAATTTCAGATCCTACTGCTTCAGCCTCCTAAATGCTGGGATTACAGGCCTGTACCACTGTGTTACTCTCTTGAAGCCTTTGTTGAGAGTCAACTATAGAGTTCCTCAATGCAAAATGTCTTTCTTAAAAGGGGTAACCTTTCACTGTGTCTTAATATTTATATTTTCATGAACAAAAATTAATAGTTGTGATAAATAACCACATAGAAACCATTGAAAGACATGTATAAAGAAAAGGTAATGTTTTCCAAATAGTACAAGTAGCAAAGAATTAAATTGTGGGCTTATTTTTCAAAGGCACTTTTACTGCGACATCACATTTTCACTTCTATGGTGAAGAGACTGAATATAGTTCCTTCTTTCCATTATCCATCTCTCCCAGTCTTTGTGAAAAGAGATTTTTCTTGGATGAATACCTCTCTGCTGAGCTGCCTACCATTGGTCCCGATTGACATAATTTTGCATTTACTTTTTTTTGAATCTTGTCACCCACTTATATTCTGACCTCTGTAATATTTTTAATGTCAACTGGAAACAATTGATTGAGAATTCTGATGTAAATGATCATTTAAGGATGTTGCACATGCTGGGCATCAGTGACTCAACTACTACCTAGCTACTCAGGAAGCTGAGATCTGAGGATTGTGATAAAGAGCCGGCCCAGGCAGGAAAGGCCACAGGATTCCTCAATTTACTACTAAAAAGCAGGAAGTGGAGCTGTGGCTCCATTGGTAGAGTGCTAGTCTTGAGAAGAAAAAGCTCAGGGACAGCATCCAGGCCCTGAGTTCAGGCCCCAGGACTGGCACACAGACAAAAGTATGCTGCATAGGAAAGAACTCATAATTAGCTCTAAGATAATCCAGGAAAGCAAAGTTGGGCCCCTTTTTTAAGCAGCTTCATAGTTACATTGCTTCTGTTGTAGTCTTGGCTCTGCTCCTCGCTCTCTTTCCGTAAGTTATTTATGCTGCATATCGTCCATCACAGACCTGGGAGGTATCCCATACATAGAAAGGATAGTTTGAGTTTCGGAATTGACTTGATTAAGATATTTTCTCCCTAAGGGAATATTTTTTTCAAAGCTAAAATGGATCTTTCCTCCTTTGTGCTTAAAATACAGAACTTTGCTTTTATCGTATCTGATTTTTGTTATGCTTTTTCTTGTACTTATGTCAAGTCTACACTTTTTGTGTCAGCGCAGTACTGGGGTTTGAATGCAGGGCTTTCTGCTTCTTAGGGAGGCAGTCTGTGACAACTAAAGCAGTTCTGTTTTGCTTTAGTTGTTTTTCAAATACAGTCTCAATTTTTCCGGAGGCTTGCTTCAGATCTTGGTCCCCCTATCTGTGTGCTCCCACATACAGAGATGAGACCCAAGGCACTACCACCAGCTTGAATCAAAACTACACATAACCACAATTGTGAAATAAACATTGATAAATACAACCCTGTTAAATGCAATGTTCTGTTTTTCTGTATTTTAATTCCCATTAGTTTGCAGCAGAGTCTACTGAGTGTAGACCTGTCAGGCATCCTGATTGCGACATACCAGAGAAGTGTAATGGAAGCTCAGGGTTCTGTCCGCCTGATATACATGTACTCAATGGGAACATGTGCAATGGGGATAAGTATTTTTGTCATGATGGAATTTGCCATGATCTTGATCAACGATGTGAGAGCGTTTTTGGAACAGGTAAGTTTTTTTAGAAATTTTTTTTTGCTATATATAAATGGTTGAGCATCAGTGTACTATGAATATTACCAGAACAAGAGCAAATGTTACATGATTATGTACATTGTTTATTAACTACATTATTTTCTCCCCTCTTCATTGAAGTAAAATTGAGAGAAATTATATGGTTTTAGGAGTAGGGCTTGATGTTCTGTTACATTATATTTATCACAATCTAATTAATATACACATCTTTTTTTTACAGTTGCCATTTCTCATAAATATTTTTTTTGTTTGTGTATGTGCCAGTACTGGGACTTGAACTTGGTGCCTGGGCACTCTCCTCTAACTTTATTTGCTCAAGGATGGTGCTCTACCTCTTGAGCCACAGCTCTACTTTCAGTTTGCTTTTTGTTGTTGTCTGTGGTTAATTGGAGATAAGACTCTCACAGACTTTCCTGCCAGGGCTAGCTTCAAACCATGATCCTCAAATCTCAGCCTCCTGAATAGTTAGGATAACAGGTGTGAGCCACTGGTGCCTGGTTTTTAAAAAAAAATGTTTTAACAAGCAGAAAAGGTCAAAATCTATGTACATATGACCATATAAGATGATGCTAAGTGAAATGAACCCCAAGATATGGATACAAGGGGTTTTTCTTTGTTGTTGTTTTTAATATTCTATGTAATTTTTCTGTTTCTTTTGTATGTTCTTCCCCCCTGGTATAACCCCTGTTTTCACTGTGTTTGATTCAGGTGCCCTACATCTTGCATATACATTTTTCTAGTTTGAGGAGGGGAAGGGAAATAACAAATTGTTGAAACAAGGATACAAGTTGACCAAATATAACAATAAGATATACAAGACACTGTGTTGAAAATGAACTTTACAACATGGGAGGGGAAAGAGGAGTTGGGGAGGTGTGGAGGGAAGGGATGGTAGAGGAAAAACAAAGGAGGGGGTAACAATGCTCAATAGGAAATGTATTTAGTACCTTACACATGTAACTGTAACCCCTCTGTACAGTGTCTTTACAATAAAAACATTAAAAATGAAGTTAAAAATGTCAAGAGCTATCCTGTCAGGAAACTTCAAGTTTTCTATGTATTATTATCTACTACAATCACTGTTGTAGTTCAGATCTTCTGAACTTGTTCAATTTGAAAACTGCTAGTTTGAACATCTTGACGAGCATCTTCCATTTCCCCCACCTTGCTTCTCCAATCTCCAAAAATCATTATTCTACTTTTTGAATGTTAGATTCTACATATAGGTTTTATGTCTCCATACTTGGATGTTTTCCAGATTCATACATTATGTCACAAATGGTAGAATTTTCTTCTTTACTAAGGCTGAAGACTATTTCACTGTGTATATACCTGTCTATCTGTCTATTTATCCATCAATCCATCCATCTACATCCACCCATCTATAAATCAGCTTTATCATATTTTTATTTCATTTTATTTTCTTTATTGTGAAAATACTGCACAGAGGGTTACAATTACATGGGCAAGATAATGAGTACATTTCTTATCAAGCATTGTAGCCTCCTCCTTTGTTTCCCCTTCCCATCCCTTCCCATCTTCCCCACCCCCCAATCTTCCCCGCCCCCCCGCCCCCCACCAAAGTTGTAAAGTTCGTTTTCGACATAACGACTTGTACATCTCATTGTTGCAATGGGTCCACCTGTATCCCTATTTACACAATTTGTTTTTCCACTTCCCCTCCACAAATTATACCGACATCAAATACAGTGAAAGCAGAAGTTATACTGTGGGGAAGGGACATACAAAGCAACAAAGAAATAATCTTATAAATGTGTTAGAAACAATCGCATGAAAGAAAAAAAACATTTGAATACATATCTTAGGGTTCATTTTCCTAACATCACCTTATCTGACCTTTTCTGCTTGACTCAGACATATACTAGATATAGCAAATAAGGGAAACCATGGGATCTATGTTTCTTTGGGCCTGGCTTACTTCACTTAATATAATTTTTTCCAAGTCTTTCCATTTTCTAACAAATGGGGCAATGTCATTCTTTCTGATGGAGGCATAGAATTCCATTGTGTATATATACCACATATTCTCGATCCATTCATCTACTGAGGGGCATCTGGGTTGGTTCCATATCTTAGCTATAGTAAATAATGCTGCAATAAACATAGTCATGCTGGTAGCTTTAGTATGGTCATGTTTGTTAACATTTGGGTAAATGCCCAAAAGTGGGATTGCTGGGTCATAGGGGACCTCTATGTGGAGTCTTTATTTTTAAAAAAATTATTTATTTATTTTTTTATTGTGAACATACTGCACAGAGGGGTTACAATTACATGGGCAAGATAATGAGTACATTTCTTATCAAGCATTGCAGCTTCCTCCTTCACATCCCTTCCCAGCCTCCCCCGCCCCCCCAATCCTCCCCTCCCCCCACTAAAGTTGTAAAGTTCGTTTTCGACATGACAACTTGTAGTTCTCATTGTTGCAATGGGTCCACCTGTATCCTTAAACGACTTGGTTTTCCCCTTCTCCTCCACAAATTATACCAACATCAAATACAGTGAAAGCAGGTTTTATACTGTGGGGGAGGGACATACAAAGCAACTAAGAAATAATCTTATAAATGCGTTAGAAACAAATGCATGAAGGAAAAAAACATTTAAATACATATCTTAGGGTTTATTTTCCTAACATCACCTTATCTGACCTTTTCTGCTTGATTCATACATATACTAACTATTGGAAATAAGGGAAACCATGAGACCTATGTTTCTTTGGGCTTGGCTTACTTCACTTAATATAATTTTTTCCAAGTCTTTCCATTTCCTAACAAATGGGGCAATGTCATTCTTCCTGATGGAGGCATAGAATTCCATTGTGAATACATACCACATTTTCTTGATCCATTTATCTACTGAGGGGCATCTGGGTTGGTTCCATATCTTAGCTATAGTAAATAATGCTGCTATAAACATAATCGTGCTGGTAGCTTTAGTGTGGTCTTGTTTGTAAACATTTGGGTAAATGCCCAAATGTGGGATTGCTGGGTCATAGGGAGCTCTATGTGGACTCTTTTGAGGAACCTCCATACTACTTTCCAAAGTGGTTGAACAAGTTTACACTCCCACCAACAATGAAGTAAGGTTCCGTTCTGGCCACATCCCCTCCAGCATCTATTGTTATTGGAGTTCTTGATTTTTGCCATTCTAACTGGGATAAGGTGGTATCTTAATGTTGTTTTCACTTGAATTTCTTTTATAGCTAGAGAGGTTGAGTATTTCTTCATGTGTCTATTGGCCATCCTTCTTTCTTCTTCAGAGAAGTTTCTCTTTAAGTCTTTAGCCCACTTATTTATTGGGCAGTTGTTTCTTTGAGGATTAGTTGTTGGGGGATTTAGTTTTTTGAGTTTCAAGTATATTTTAGATATGAGAGCCTTGTCCATTGTATGGCTAGTGAAGATCTTCTCCCAATCCATGGGCTTTCTACTGATCTTGCTAGCTATGTCTTTTGCCATGCAGAAGCTTTGCAATTACATGCAATCCCATTTTTCCAACCTTTCTTTGATTTGTTGTGTTTCTGGGTCTCTATTAAGAAAATTTCGACCTGTGCCAAGGAGACCTAGGGTTTCTCCTATTCCATCTTGCAATGTTTTCAGAGTATCTGCTTTGACTCCGAGGTCTTTGATCCATTTGGAGTTGAAGGATCTAGCTTTAGTTTTCTACAAGTAGTTAACCAGTTTTGCCAGCACCATTTACTGAAGAAGCTGTCTTTCTTCCATTATATTTTTTTAGCTCCCTTATCGAAGATTAGGTGGCTATAGGTCTGTAGGTTCATTTCTGGGTTTTCAATTCTATTCCATTGGTCCTGAGTTCTGTTCTTGTGCCAGTACCAAGCTGTTTTGATTACTATGGCTTTATAGTAGAGTTTGAAATTTGGTATTGATATTCCTCCAGCACTGTTCTTTCCGTTGAGGAGCGTTTTTACTATTCGGGGTCTTTTATTGTTCCATATGAATTTTTGGATTGCCTCTTCTATTTCCTTGAAGAATGAGGTTGGAATTTTGATAGGTATCGAATTGAATTTGTAGATAGCCTTGGGAAGTATTGCCATTTTCACGGTGTTAATCTTTCCAATCCAGGAGCATGGGAGTTTTTGCCATTTTCTAAATTCTGTTTTGATTTCCTTTTTCAAGTTTTTAAAGTTTTCATCATAGAGGTCCTACACTTCTTTGGTTAAGTTAATTGCTAGGTATTTTGTTTTTGTGGAGCTATTACAAATGGAGCTGCTTTCCTAATTTCAGCCACACTTTTCTCATTGTTGGCATACAGAAAAGCCATTGATTTGGGGATGTTAATTTTATACCCTGCTACTTTGCCAAAGTTTTGCATCAGCTTGAGTAATTTGGGAGTGGAGTCTATGGGATACTTTAAATACAAGATCATGTCATCTGCAAAGAGGGAGAGTTTTATTTCTTCTTTCCCTAGGATCCCCTTTATGTTTGCACCTTGTCTTATTGCTGTAGCTAGGCATTCTAATACTAGATTGAAGAGAAGTGGAGAGAGTGGACATCCTTGTCTTGTTCCTGAGTTAAGAGGAAATGGCTTTAGTTTTCCACCATTAAGTATAATGCTGGTTGTAGGTTTGTCATATACAGCCTTTATTATATTGAGGAATGTTCCATGGATTCCTAATTTTTCCAAAACCTTCATCATAAAGGGGTGCTGGATCTTGTCGAATGCTTTTTCTGCATCTATTGAGATAACCATGTGGTTCTTATCCTTGCTCCTGTTGATGTGATGAATTATATTAATTGATTTGCGTATATTGAACCAGCTTTGCATCCCTGAAATGAATCCTGTTTGATCGTGGTGTATGATTTTTTGGATGAATTGTTGAAGTCGATTGGCCAAAATTTTGTTGAGAAGTTTTGCATCAATGTTCATCAAAGAAATGGGTCTCTAGTTCTCTTTCTTTGATGAGTCCCTGCCTGGTTTTCGGATGATGGTTATGATGGCTT